CATGAAGCCATTTTGACCTGTGCACAGTAAACGTCATTAACATTTCTAAACACACACAGCATATATAAAAGGCATATATAAAAGTTCGTCTAATTCAGTATTTCTCAACCTTTTTGGCTTCCCCCCTTGTCCACAAAAAATGGACAGCTTTGTTGTGGTTGTGACCTCAATAAATTAAAATGTAAAAAAGTGAATTCATATCTGCGGTCAATGTGATTTGAATCTCTCACCATCTGTACGCTGCTGTGCGGCTGGAGGCATGTTTCACCTTCTGCTGTAAAGTTACAGAACACTTTAAACGCATCTCTATGACATCCCTGGTTGGGGTCAATCCAGTAAACTCCTGAGGTCAAAGGTCACACAGAGAGAACCGATTCAGAATACACAGGACGATGATGATCCCTCCAGTGTTGCAGACTAAGAAAGCACTGGAACAAGTGTATGTGTGTTGAATGTGTGTTGTGTTCGTACCGTCGGGATACTCGGGGTGGCACATCCACAGCTCTTTGCAGGTGCGGGCAGGACTGTGGTAGGTGCCCAGTGGAGTCCGGAGTCCCTCCACATCCGTCCTCATGGAGGCCAGAGACGCAAACACCTCCTCCATGTCCTTCTCCTCCCCCTGAGCCTCCTCGTCCTGCGTCTGTCCGTCCTCCATCGCCGCTCCATCCACATCCGAATACCTCCTCCGCTTCCCTCGGCCATCCAGCACCGGAGGAGCCGCCATTCCCACCGCAGGAAGACCCTGGATAGAGATGGAGAGATGTTTAGTTCCATCACTCGTTCAGCTAATGCTCCTTCTGCCATTAGTTTTCATCTAATAATGAGTTTATGGGTGACTGGAGACTCACCGGGGGACCAGGGGGTCCAGCAGGACCAGGATCTCCTCTGGGTCCAATAGGGCCCTTAAATAAAGCACATCATTCACACAGACCACATGAGGTATTCAGTATCTGCTGGTGTTTAAGAACTCAGACTGAAGGGAACACTTGGCCTGCATTTACACTGCAAGTCTTAATGCACAGATCAGATCTTTTGACCACATACGATTTTTTGGCCCACCTGTTTACATTCACTTTGACACGACTGGTATCCGATATCTGTGTTTACATTAATTCCCACCCGTCAGTTATCGCTTTACCATGCACATGATACTAGGCCCTCAGGTTTTGAATGGCCATGCTATTATAATGATTTATATAATTCACGTCAAGTGGACATCATTATTTGTCAGCATGGACAACAGCTGTCATGAATGTTTTGCAGCACCAAATCTGACTGAACGGATAAAGACTAGAAAATAAAGGTGATGTTAATTTGTTATTTAATCTACAGCTAGTTAGATGTAGAATTCTGAAGTGAAATAAAGTAGCACTGCAAGATTCTATATGAATGAATTAGCGCGCGAGAGAGAGAGAGAGAGAGAGAGAGAGAGAGAATGTGAGAGTGAGTAGCCTAATAGTGAAGCTTGTTGGTTTAATTACAAAAACAGCTAGGTTATCACCTCATTGCTGAGAGATATAATGTAGGTTTTAGTAGCAAAGCTATTGTATTTATAAAAGTCACGGGGCAGGGGTTGAAAACCAGCTCCTGAATGTTGCGCAATTTCTTACATATAACGTTTCTGCCTAAATAAAATGCAAGCGCATATACAGCATGCCAGCATTAAAATGCTAACTTTATGGCAAACATATCAGATATCAGATATGTATCTGATTAAAATCCACATTTGGAAGTGGCCCAGATCGGCTGCAAAAGAATCAGATCTCATGCAGATTTTTGTGTTTACATGTGTGCAACAAATTCCAGTCTGTGTCAGATGTGAGCAGAAAATCTGATTTTTGTGCCAGTGTAAATGCAGCCTTGGACTTTCCAGACTCTTCACCCTCTCTGGTGTGAAATGAGCTGCCAATCTCCATGTGAACCGCTGAGTTCATTGTGACTTCTGAAGACACCCTCAAGCACTTAACCTTTACATTTCACCTCTTCCCTAGCTTGTTTCCTAATCTAGCTTTCTATTAAACCTGGCATTGTGCACTGTGAATACTTGGCTCAGTGACAAATTGCTTATGTTCCTCCTTTCTAATTCACTGTGAATAAACTTATCTGCTAAATGCATATACAGGAACACGTTCATGCTAACACATCTCAAGTCAAATGGTCAGCATGTCATTATGAATTCAAGTAAAAATCAGTGTGTTTCACCTGGTTTCCTTTAGATCCTTTCTGTCCCATGGATCCCTGAAACACAGTGTTACAGACTGAAGCTGTGAGACCAGAACAAACTCAATGTTTGATGTTTGCGAAGATTAAAGTGTCACGAGACTCACAGACAGTCCTGGTAATCCGGGTGGTCCACTAAGTCCTGGAGGTCCGAATGGTCCCTGTCAGCAGAAACACGATTAAATCAGCTTCTTAATGTGTGTGTGAATGTGTGTCTATATGAGTGTGTGTGTGTGTTCACCTCGTCTCCTTTGGCTCCCTGCAGCCCCTGGTTTCCCGGCAGTCCTCGATCACCTTTCTCTCCGAACTCACCCGGCGGCCCAATCAAACCGATCAGACCGCCATGACCCTGACACACACACAGATATAATGAAATCATGAGCATGTACTCTGTGTGTGTGTGTGTGTGTGTGTGGTGATGTACCTTCTCTCCTTTCTTGCCCGGATCTCCCTTCAGTCCTGCCAGTCCAGCGGGACCCTGCGCACATGTAATGAAATCATCAGTCTGACGTCATATTAAAGATCAGTGCATGAGGAGTGTTATTGAGCCTCACCATCGGCCCCGGGGGTCCTGTTTGACCTGGGGGTCCATTCAGCCCTTGTTCTCCCTACAGCAGAGAGAGAATGTGATATTCATCTTTATTAAACCAACATTCACAGGCAAGGATTGCAGGACGGACCAAAATAAGGGGGGG